CACACACACACACACACACACACACACACAGCGGAGTCGTCACAATGCGTGTTTTTGCATGTTATTCAAAAACGCAAAATTAGGATAAAAAATTCTGTTAAAATATATTCTTTACAGTGCCTCAGTAAGTCGTATTACCGCAATAAACACTGAGGGTGTGTGCACTAAGTATTCTGCATGGATCGGATGTAACTCAGAATTTGACCTCATTTCTCAAATAATTCACGGCTTTTTGGAAAAAAAATCTACTCTGCTTCCTAATTTCCAGTTTTCCCTCACTCGAAGAGCGATGAAGTACACCTGAAGTGCTCGATGCGAGAACGGAATGCGAAAGTCGGACTAATTACGTAAAAACACTTCAGTTTTGTCGCTTAGACTCTGCCTCTAAAATTCCTCAAAAACTGGTTTTTTTCCTCTCTTCTTCCCTTTTTTTTTGCCTTTTTTTAAAACACCTGTAAGAACGTACTGATGAGATTCCGTCCCAAAATAAGTTACTTCTTATCCTTTATTTTTCTCAGTACCACAGCCTCATATGCCCATCATATCACGTAAAACTCGTTTTTATGCATTTTTGCATTTTGGATTGTATCTCGTTGGCGGGGAAGTGCCTTAGGGTTTTTTAGGAGTAGTACCATTCAAAAGCAGAGGATGATGCTCAATACATATCAAGAACACATCAAAACAACGTGTCCTTATTCAAACTTTTCCGTTGGGAGAACCATTGAGCTGGTAATCTTTTCAGGAGACGAACGAATGTCAGGATCGCCAGCAGGTTGACCATCACGTAATGCAGCACTGGTCAACGCAATAACCAGTTGGGAATCAGACTATGAATTACAGTTGATCCAAGTATTCCAAGTACAGGTGTGGCAAGAGATTGTCTGCAGATCGGGCAAATTAAACTTCATACGCCCATCCGGCTAATTAAAATTCGTTGCTGCAACAATCACCTCTCACCGACTGAGGAAACAGAGCATCCGGAAAAGTTTTGAGTGAAAAAATTTTGGCTCTAAAGAACATGTAAAAACAGTTTCATTCATTAGTTATAACATAGTGGGGATCACAAATCACTATACTTTGAAGAGCTGTTTTTTCACCGTTGCGTTTCTTCTCTCCAATACAATTTTCCCATTCTTCTCTATCCTGAATTTCTTTCTGAAACTGTACTTCGTTTTGCAGTCCCTGTATCTTCTTACAAAACGATAGTTTAGCTGGATCTATCAAACAATTATTGCAGTACAACCGAATGTAAGAGTATTTAAGTATTCTGAATGTTATAGTTTAATTGTTTTTAATGCGGTTTTGGTACTTTTCAGCTTACTGGAACACAAAGCCACATCAGCGATCTAAAAAATGATCTGTCCGATGGTATTACTCTTATTCAGATCGTGGAAACACTGCAGAAGGTTAATTTAAAAAAAAATAACGAAACGGCTAATTGGCGGTAATTCAAAATCACAAACCTACCATTATTTTTCATTTACGGGGTCAGGACCTTATAATCAACTTCGAGGCACATTCAGTCTTAGGCTCACAAGACCACTTTCTCCTCTCAAACTGTACTAAAAATACCTTTAAAAATAATGTCAAGAATTTAAAAACATATAATAAAATGGATTAAACAATTTTAAAAAATGCTATCGCCTTTAAAGCGTATTTTTTTCAAAACTCGATCCTGGCCAATTTTTGTAATTTGAGGGTAACGGTATTACGTGATTGTAATTTTGTGGATTAAATTCATATTAAATGCGACAACACATAACTCGAAATCCTCTCCAAATTTCCTGATGCTTTGATCTTTGACCTCAGTCCTAAATTCGTAAGGGAGGCTATTAAAACTTCAAGACTTTGAGGGTTTAACACATTTTTGTGTAAAAACTGCAGTTCTCAAAGCATTCAAAAAATTTTTCATAATCTAATCAAACCCACTTTCAAATAACTTGTCATTTTTCGAAAGGAGGAGCCATCGACAGTCCTTTATGCGGAAAATTGTTAGCATTTGCTAGCTATTCGAGCTACTTCCGGGTACCTCTGCCTTTCTTTCGAGAGGAGAGGAGTGAATGTGGAGGAGATTTTGACTTTTGAGTTTAACACAGTTCATCGTTTTTATTTCTCGTTTCTAATTAAAATCAGCAAAATTTGTTACTTTTACGACAGTTAGAATATGTGTCGAATCAACTGCGTCGAAAAGTGTTTGTTCAGGAGAATCCTGGCAGCCGTCTGCATTTGTTGTAGTAGTACCTCAAATGCTCCTTGTTAGCAGTGTTATTGTAAAGAGGCGTCAAAAGTACTAATTTGTTCAGCTGTTCGATCGCTAATGCTTTTAGTGCTACTAGCTGTGCAAAAAATACCGATTATATCAAAAAATCATTAAATTTCCGGAGATTGCCCCACCAAAATTGTCAAATTAAGTTGTATGCATAAAAACTTAGAAATTTAAAAAACTTTTAGAAAAGCTACAGCTTGGAATCGAAGGCCCGTCATCAGAACAGCATCTATACGTGTGAGAGCATCCCAGTAGCGTCATGATATATCCCCAATTAAGATCTGGGGCTAGTCTTACCAAACAAACGTTAATGGTTGGCAATTTGAACAATATTAATACATACAAAAAAGAGTGAAACTTTTACTTTTTACAGGAGAAGTGTGTTGGCAGAATTTACAGAACAAAACCGAATGAAATTCAGAAAATTATGAATGTGCAATTGGCACTCGATGCTCTCAAAACGGACGGTGTACGCCTCATCAATATTGGTAAGTGGTACTGAACTTTCAAAACTGCCATAACTGTCCAGATCGGCAGGCATGAAGGTCGATTGTTAGTGTTATTACTGAGATACATCCACAAATTACGTCGTCCACAGCTACGCTAGGCCGTTTTGTCTTCTGTAGTTTTAAACATGATTATGCATTTAAATAGAATAATAATGATTATTACGACAACAACGATGGCAATAATAATGATAACAATAATGTGATAACAATAATGGTAATAATAATAGTATTTACAGTAAAATTCTCTGAAACAGGGTAATAATTAAAGTTACAGTAGTAAATAGATTAATAACTGAAAAATCATTTTATTGGAAATTGACTTTGAATATGGATTGGAATAATAATTAAATTTTTTGCTAGAATATTGTCAAATATTCCAAGACAACTTGGTACCATTTCACTTGGAAGTAGCAGATGGACAAGGTTCCTAACGTAGTCCACAATATGAAACATCCTAGAGGCTTCTGAGCAAATGAAATCATCTGTGACTTGACTTTGCTCATTGAAAAAATTACCGAGCAATGGCCTGCATAGTGGTCTAGGAAACGTTGTGCTGTTTTACCTCTCTTTTACAGACTGATTTGTCGAATTTTGCTTTTGATTCTACTTTTTGTTTGATTTTGGGTAGTTTTCAAGAAAATAAGCATCTTCTGATGTTTCGGAATACACAAAGCGATTTATTTTGATAATTTTCCAATTTTACCTGATCATTCTTGGCAAGAGGCTTTGAGGTAGCAAAGTCGAATTTTTCCCGTAAATAGAAGATATCTACCCCTAAATAGCGTTTAAAATGTTGCTTAAACCAAATATTGAATAAGTGTATTGAATCTGAATATTGAATATTGAATAAATGTATTAAATTTTGTCTTAAATTTTTGGAGATCAAAAAATTTTCTATTTTCAGGGGCACATGATATCGTGGAAGGCAATCTGAAGCTAATACTTGGATTAGTGTGGTGTATAATACAACGTTATCAAATTGATTCACAAACAAAATTACCGGCAAAAAAATTACTTATGTATTGGCTCCAGGTACGGCTTTATAATTAGTTCTAATAGGTGAGTTACCTCATCATGATCAAAAAATGACAACTTTGGAATCGAGTTTGTGATTCTCAACACACACACACACACACACACACACAC